TTTGAAAAGATCAAAGTTGGCCCTACTGAAGTCCAGGGTTCTAGTTCTGCTAGGTATTCTCTTCCTGCCACATGAGATCCTGAACTCCACCATTTCATGGTCACTACAACCAAGGCTACCCTCAAATCTTCAGCACTTCAACCAGACCCTCCTTACTAGTGAGAATAAGATCCAGCAGCGCTACTCTTCTAGTAGGCTCATCCACCATTTGCATCAGGAAGTTATCATCAATGCACTGAAGGAACCTCCTGGACTGGATGGCTGGCTGAGTAGGCCTTCCAGCAGATACCAGGATAGTTGAAGTTCCCCATGACAACGGGGCCTGCATTTGCGAGACCGCTGTCAGCTGCCTGTAGAAGGCCTCATCAACCTCCTCATCCTGATCCGGTGGTCTGCAATAGACACCAATAACAGTATCACACATGCCAGATTGTCCTTTAATTCGCACCCACAAGCTCTCAACTTGCTCCTGATCCGCCCCTGGACAGAACTCAATGCACCCTAGTTGCTCCCTCACATAAAGAGCAACTTCACCACCTCGCCTTGCTGGCCTATCTTTCTTGAAGAGGACATAGCCATCCATGACCACATTCCAGTCATGCAAGCTGTCACACCAAGTCTCAGTAATTGCTACCAGATCATAACCCCCTGATCGAACACAGATTTCTAACTCCTCCTGTTTGTTCCCCATGCTGCTTGCATTGGTGTACCGGCATTTCAGAGAGCCAGCTGAGCACGCGGATTTCACCCTAGGGGGTGGGAGGCCTTATTCCCTGAGCCTAGTTTACTGAGCCTAGTTATATCCCCCTCCTCCTTCAAACCTAGTTTAAAACCCTCTCGATGAGCCCTGACAGCTCATGAGCAAGAATCCTTTTCCCTCTTTGAGACAGCTGAAATCCATCATTTGCCATCAGACCCGGTTCTGTGAAAGCCTTCCTATGATCAAAGAAACCAAATTTCTGCCGGTGGCACCAGCCTCTGAGCCATCTGTTAATCAAGTGTATTTTCCTGTTCCTATCTGTATTCTTTCCTGCCACTAAAGGGACTGAGGAAAACACTGCCTGCGCTCCTGACCCTTCAACCAATTGCCCCAATGCCCTGAAGTCCCTTTTGATGGCTTTTGGACCTCTCTCTGTTACCTCATCAGTTCCACCCACCTATGAGAACATGAGCTTCCAAGTGTTGTCTTCTTCTCCCCAGCCCTGGGGAAAACTGATGGCTAGTTGCTAGGAAGAGCTACCAAAGTAGCCAAAGCTGGATAGTCAAACAATTTCTTACAGCTCTGCACACACCTTTTTTGTTCCATGCATATTGACTCTTTGCTTCAGTTTCCTTCCTTACTGCCTCACTCGGACCTCATTCCTCACATTTTCCTTTCTCCTCTGCACTCTGCTTCTCACGTCCCTTTCCCTTCAGCATATTCCCCTTCACTTCTCTTTATGTGTGTTTTATCTCTTCTTCAGTAATTTCACCACTATTACCTGAATGGAAAAAAAACCACTCCAACAAACAAGGAACCCAACTATGAGACTAGCTTTCTCCTTATTGCCACTATCAAGCTCATTTCACTTACTTGGTTTATCCTTGCCTCAGCTGGCTCTCTCGCTTGTTGGTGTAGGTTGAAAGAATACAGAATCATAGAACCATAGACTGGTTTGGGTTGGAAAGGACCTTAAAGATCATCCAGTTCCAACCTCCTGCCACAGGCAGGGACACCTTCCACTAGATCAGGTTTCTCAAAGCCTCATCTAACCTGGCCTTTAAAGATACATAAAATACATAACTAAAAGTAGAAAATGTGTGCATATACACTGCCCTGTAAAAAGTTGGAATTGTACTAGATACAGATACAATCCTGTTGTCAGACACATGGACAAAATAGACTCCACTGAGATTCATGAATGCATTATTAACAGCTGAATTTGTCTAATAAATTTTTGCCACACCTAGTAAATACTACACGTATATACATGCATATATACATACATATATGTTATGTGTCTATGCCAAGTTTGGCAATTCTGCTCCACCGCAGAAGTGTGCATAAGACTGAGCAGGTGCTAACTGATTTCACAGGCCATGGTTCGGTATGTACGAATCAGATGCTGGTGGATGACAACACCAAATGTAGATGCTTAATAAAGCTTCTCCCTTTAGCCCTTCTCCCTTTAGCCTGCTCCCTCCTCTTTTCTGGTGCAATTACTATTTTGTCTGTTTGGAGATGGTAATGTTCTGATTTGGGATTCTGGGCAGCAGCTCAGTGGTAGGTACGTAACTGCTTTCACAAGCAGCCATTGACTTCCGCATCTCAAGGAGGCAGCTATCTTGTGGCTGAAGTGGCAGCAAGGAGAAACTGGTGCAGCAGCAACCTAAGTATGTTGCTGAAAGGGGATATGGCAAGGAATGAACTAGGCTTGTGCCTTTTGTTCTTCTTTTTAATGAATTACAGAGATGATGCAAACTTTTTCTAGTGCTTGTGACGTGCTTGAGTTACTTTCATGAATGTTAAGTTTTGCTTTCATGTTTTGCATGAAGTTCACTGACGGATGGATATTGGAAATTCTCAGGACTAATCACAGGAACATAGATGTTGAGCATGTAACAAAAAAGCTTTGCAAAAGCTAAGCAAAAATAGAATCATAGAATCATAGAATGGTTTGGGTTGGAAGGGACCTTAAAGATCATCTAGTTCCAACCCCCCTGCCACGGGCAGAGAAATCCTCCACTACACCAGGTTGCCCAAAGCCTCATCCAACCTGGCCTTGAACACTTCATCTATTTCTCTTGGTATCCACTGTGCCATAAAATCCCTACTTCTCAAAGGCTTTTTCTACATGGAAAAGGTATATTCTCAGTATACCTTAAATGGCAAAATGGCACAATACTCCTTAACATGTTTGTATATATATATTTAAAATATCTATCTATCTATCTATCTATCTATCTATCTATCTATCTATCTATCTATCTATCTCAAAATCCACCTTAGCCAACACAGATAATTATCTGATACAAGCACTGCATGTAGACAAGCCTTTGTCTACTTCTTGCATGTCTTCCAGGACAAGCAAGGCCAGGTAGGCCTTCTTTGTACATCAATCAAAAGTGTACAAGCACGGTTACTTCTCTTTTTCATTCACTATCACAATGGGAGAAGAAGAGAGACCTATATTATGTTCCACTCCTGTCTCTCAGCAAACAAGGAGTAGCAATAGAGAAATCTGTGATTAATCTTCAACCAATTCTAAAGCAGTCATCTATTGTAAATATTCTGCAAATGAAACACCGTTTTGTGTGCTTTGTATATGCATGCACGCTGGACCCAGTCATGCAAGGTACGTTTGAAAGCCCTCAGCTTCTGAGCATCAACTAGAGAACAACTAGCACCATGCAGGACTGGGGTCTCTGTGTATGCATACTGCAGTTTCACATATAACCCTGAAGGTGTTTAGACCTTCCAACAGCTACAAATCAGTATAAACTGTAACTTCAGAATACATGTCATCTCCAAGCGGGAGGCCTGGATCCAGAGATGACATCTCCACTGCTAGTCATACCTGATGGTTAGTCCTGTCCACAGTGTTGGCAGTGGAAGCATGGTCACGAGTGTTTTGTCGGACTCGAGTGGAGTTTTGCTGCTCAATGGTTGAGGAAGTGGGGATGCAGAACTCTCTGAAACACCTTTTGAAATTCTCATCTAGAAATGCATAAAGGACTGGATTAAGGCAGCTATTTGTGTACCCTAGAGCAATACAGAAGTGCCAGGAGACAGTTTGGAAAGTAGTTTCTGGGATGTTGACCAGGGCTTTAACGATGACATAAATGTGGATGGGAGTCCAGCAAACAATAAACACCGCCACCACTACAAGAACCATCCTTGTGATTCTCCGCAGGTTCCTGTCCTTCTCTTTGGAGCCAGATAACATGCGAACGCTCTTCAGGCGTAAAATCATCAGCCCGTAGCACACGGTAATGATCAGGACTGGCATAATGAAGGCGAAGATGAACACACAGATTTTCAGGAGGTTCTCCCAGTACCACGCAGGGTGGGAGAACGTAAGAGTGCAGTCAATAGAGCCTGGAGAAAAAGGAAAACAGCAGAGAAGAACAAGCAGGTCAGTTTTTCATTTGCTTTTCTTTAAGCCTTTTTTTTGTTAAATATCATAGGAAAATATATGTAGATTTACTAAGTAAACAAGTAAAATGAAGCTATTTGTGACCTGTCATCGGCACAAACATTGGTAGGACACAGTGCTGCAAAACGTGTATGAAGTGTGAGTTAGAAAAACAAAACCGGAGTAACGTGTTCACTTTTACATTTTATTGCTTGGAATGGCATGTATACTGGACAAGAAAAAGAACTGAACTGTCATAAATGCTCAAACTTTGACTCATTTTCACTTTCAATATAAATATTGGTGAAAAGACAGATGATTTAACCACTGTATCTACTGAGAGTTTGGACATTTCGAGGCAACGGGGAAGAGAATGACATGACACTTGGTAACTGCACACAATGGAGAGTATGGATTTAAGTTGAGATGCTGTCGCTTCATGGAAGGTCTATGATCACTAGTGATCCAGAACATGCTCTCTGCTCTGTCATGTCCAGCCAGACTAGATGCAACATATCTATGACTGCTGACTTCAGTGGAAATATCCTGGGTAAAGTACAGACTTCTGTGCTGTAGGACAGGGCATAACCACCCCATAGCAGAAGGCAGATAGGCACAGATGCTTTTGCAAACACCACAATAACTGTGTGGGGCAGTGAGACTTGCATGGACACACAGAAGGAGCTGGATCTGCCTGTTGTAAACGACAGATCATGTGCAGTGCTGGGTCCAGTCAGCGACAGACAGATGCAAAATTGTTGGAGGGGTCCATTTGCACTGACACCTGCTTTAGACGGGTTTGAGGTCAGAAGTTAATTCAACGCCTCTACGGTAAAGTGAAACAATGCAGAAAGGAGTTTAAACATTGAAACACTCAATTTAGGAATGAAAGCCAGACTTACCATGCCTGTATTTAGTAGTTGCCATAAACATAACTGGCAGGCCAATGGCAGAAGAAAGAATCCAGTTGCAGACATTGACAATTTTGGCATTTCTAGGGGTACGGAAATCAAGGGCCTTAACTGGGTGGCAAACAGCTACGTAGCGATCCACACTCATGGTGCAGAGTGTAAAGATACTGGTGAACATATTGTAGTAGTCTATGGATATAACAATCTTACAAATGATGGTACCAAATGGCCATGTTCCCATCAAGTAATTCACACTCTGAAATGGCAGAGTACTTGTTGCTAGGGCATCTGCCAATGCAAGATTGAAAATATAGATATTGGTGGCAGTCTTCATTTTCGTGTACCTAGAAAAAAAATCAGCAAAGCACGTGAATGACCACAAGTGACAATGTTAAACAAAATTGAGTCCAGTGCACCATCTATAAGAAACTTCTGTGGAATAATGTGCAAGATACTGTCAAAGATCGTCTTTTCTGGTTTTAACCAAATGACCTTGCTATGATTTATCTACAACAATGTTTGCATTTCAGTGAGGCATTAGCTGAAGAGTGTAAGAAAGAAAACAAAAGATTAATTTAACTTGTGCAGAGAAAAAGGATACATGTAGAAGAAACAATATTACAGATGCTAAAGAACTGAGAAGTTGAAAAAAATGTATTTGTAGATATCAGACAATGTACTAATTTTCAGCTAGATTTTCTGTATCTTCTGATGTCATGTCCAGTATCAGAACCATGGTCTGTAGAAACAGAGAACGCATTTGTAGGTTGTTGAGTAGTAGCAATGTAATTCCTTAGGGAAAAAGTACCTAGAAGATTATTATAATAATTAAATCCACTGTGTCTAAAAAGCCAGGCTTTTAGACTTTTTCATTTGTTTATGTTTACAGAATTCTAAAATAATTTGTAATGATGGTTACCACATTGCTTTACTAATCTCAATGTCCAATGTAAGTTGGACAGATGTTCTTTCAATCAAATAAGAAGACAGATGCCGTTAACCATATGCATTGAACGTATCAATAGAACCACGACCCTTGTTGCATGCTGCAGCCCTGCTGCTTAAGGTAGGAACACTCGCTCTGCTCCACAGTGCCTATTTTGGCAAAAGGGTCTTCTGCCTCCATTTCACTTCTTTCTTCCTAAGTCTGTGCTGCTAACAACCCAAAAAACACTTGATGAATTTTGAATATGTCACACTTCAATCATAGCTGAGCAGGGGGAGCTTTTTATGTTTTAACTTGCATTTGCATTACGAAAGGTAGAGTCCAAATTCCTCCTTAGTTTCATCAACTTTTTGAAGAGCCCTTCACTATTTCAAGCCCATCGTGTCAGCTGAGCAGCACTTGAGATCCACTTTTTATGAGCTTGGTATACTTCTGCAGCAGTAAAATAAATGTTTCACTCTTAAGGAACGATCCTGGCCATGCTGCCCTGCTGTCCTGATTGCTGCTGAGGTTGCTGGGCACTGTGGCTGCCTGGCTTTTGGGCGGTCAGATGAATTGCTCTTTTGATAAAACTTCTTTCTGTTTCTGCAAAGTTAACAAGTACAGTGTTTGATCAAACATTTTACAATTTATAGAGTGATTTGCAAGAGGAATAGCCCATTTGAAAAGATCTTTCAGGCAACCTGTCAGGGAAGACAAAGTGTAAAATACAGTATTTCAGGGTTTCTTTTTCTCTGTGACTTTGACCTCTTCAGAATATGAG